AACGCTGATAGTTGCTGACTGCACTGTCGCAAAGTGTGAACGCGACACTAGAAACACTCAGCTTCCATTCTGACTAATATAGCATAACTTATTAGACCTTTGATGGTCTCTGGGTTACGCTGAGAAAAAAAAACCATTTTTTTTCAGCATATTGCGGACCGCCGTACATCGCGCTTGTCCCAGTTATTTCATTATTTTTCATCAAAAACCGATCAGTATTTCTCTCCCCCTTTTCAATCGCTCAAGAGGAAGGAAATGTTAATAACAGAAAACGTGTTTTCGCAACAACAGAACATGATAGAAAAGTCAGAATAGTTGAACAAAACGCCACATAGGGACAAATCCATGACACACCATGTGTGTCACGCGGTCCGGAACTTGTTAAACAATTTCTCCCTAGTTTATGAACGCAGCAACACTCACCTGTCTTGTCGGCTTCTTTTCCTCCACACTTCGATTTTCTTTTGTACTTTCACCGCTTTCTGAGCTACCAAATCGTTGTATACGGTTCGGCGTAGTCTTACTGACGTCGTTGGGAGGATTCTGAGGAGCTCCCAACACAGTCTTCTTGGGAGGTGTGGTGATGATTGCCTCAGGAGCCGATGACTTCCTTACCTTCAATGAGCTAGGCTCTTGATCACTGGGCTTTTCGGCAGTTGTTCGCTCGCTGGAAGAAGCCCGCGTTTTCAGCTCTGTACCCTTGCTCTTAGTAGAACCTTCATCTGTGCTAGCAGCAGTACTAGAGATAGATTGCCCTCCAGGTGATGGCGATTTGGTTTTCTTCAGTGATGTCTTTTCTGCCGAATCTACTGGAGATGTCGGCCTCGGTGGTTTGGCAGCACTGACATCAGTCGGAGTCAACTTCTTGTCATACAATGACCTACGTTCCGCTTTCTCCGCATCTGGTGCAGGATTTCCAGCACTCGCAACTCTCTTGAGTGGAGAATCGGCAGTATCGACAGCTTCCGGCTTCTTTTTGCCGTTCTCAGCATTCGAAATGATTTTACTCTCCACGGGCTTTGAAATTCCTTTCTTTTGTAGACTATTTCCCGTACTCTTTGAGCTGTAAGAGCTGAAGGTCTTCTCTTCGACAGTGGATGTGCTCTTCGTTGGCAAGGTTACTAACACCTCAGGGATATTTGGTTTCTTAGCTTCCGGCGACTTTCTTTCGGGCGTTTTTGATCTCTTCCTGATCGAAACAGACGGTTTTACTTCTGCTGTAGTCTCTGCTGCCTTAGTCGTGGTGACAGGTACAGGCGACTCTGAAGTAACAACCACTTGCGGCAAGGGTAAGCTTTTCTCATTGGGTGGTTTCCGTTCAGGTGTCTTAGACCTCTTTCTGACTGTTCCTGCAGGTGATGTCGACGAGGTCGTATCTTCCTCTTTTGAAGGGCTCTTAGGTGAAGGTGGCGCTTTCTTTGGCGCTTCTGCAGTTGTGAGTTTACCCTGGACTTCCGGACTGTGTTCTTCTTTGCTCGGCTTCTTTTGGGCCTTCGGCGGCTTGGATACCTTTTCTTCGCTTGCCTGAAATAACATCATAAGATGGTTATATTTAGCAGAAAGATAATTAAAAAAAGAGAAAAACGTTGCATCAGTTGCGCGGGGCAGTTTGACCTAAGGGGCATTTTTCTGAACGCGTGCAAGGCAAAATGTCACAGCTTTCATTTTCACACCACCTTTCGCGATGTCGGCTAGCCCACCTCGGAGCTTATTCAATCCAGGCTTAGAGAAGAGTCCTTAGCCCCTGACTCACATAGGACTCAACGAAGCACCCCCACCCCTCCTTAGCCAAAGTGCACCTTTTGCGGATACAGGGTGTTCCTTGAATCTACATGAAATGATTCATGTAACTATGTTCACAAGAACAGTCGATGATGTGCAATTGTTGAAAAAATCTGCTACAACTGAAAGAGCTAATTGGGAAAGTTCTACATACACATCATATGGTTGTGGAATGTCTTGTGTAGCCCTGACCTTCAAGAGCGCCTCCAAAGCCTGAAGGTGCCCTAACAGGGCACAGCATCGTGATGTGTGAAAATCCTGGTACGTCCGCCCTCCCTTTCCGGCTCTAATTGCTTGTCTTGACGTGACGACTCGCAAGTGCTTGCGGCCGCGTTATGATTCCATGGCACGTTAGCGATGAAGCAGGGCTGTTGGCCGGTGGAAATCGCGGGGCTTTTTCTTAGGGTGATATTTTTAGGTGTGGGACTTCTGAATGGAAGGCAGCATGTTGTAGCAATGTCTCTACCGTTGCGTTTTTTACCTACTCGCAATCTGAATCTTCCCCGTTCGTGAAATATTTCCGGATGGGTTACGGACGCGTTAGTGGTAAATCGCGAGCGGGTTTTTATGCTTCAGACGAGAGAATAACTTCCTTCGAACGCAATTTTTTGCAAAAATAAAACCCTTTCAGAACGCCCAATATTTCTTCTTTCCAATACATTCTACAGTTTCAGCATTGTAAGGATACTTATTGGGCGCGGGAAAAGCTTCGATTTGCCTTCCAAAACCACTTATCCCGTTGAAGTAAGTCCAAAGCACAACATGTTATCCCATGCGACCGACGTGATGTGAGCGTGCGCCGTGTATTACGCTTTTACGCAGAGGTGGTGGAAAGGTGTAACTTCTGATTTTAGGTGATTTTTGTCGATGCAAGCAGATTTGTTAACAATACCATAAAGTCATCTACGTATTTGTGAGTTCTTAGTGCTTACTACTGATGTTGCTAATCAACTGCTTTAATGTTTTGTGGTCTTCCTTACATTCGGGTTCTCTGCAGCTTTCTGTCAGCTCCATCAAACTTAGCGATGACACTTTGGCGCTGTTTGGTGCTCATCCACGACCCCCCGATGGGGTTCGCACAACGATGCCGTACCCTGTTACCCCGAAAAGGAAAAACGCTGGTCCCAAATTGTAAGCGTTATTGAAAGAATCACCCCTTTTATACGGACCCGAGAATTTTTGGTAATTTTTATGTTACTCACAGACTTCAGCAAACCAGCAATCGTCGATAACGTCGGCTTTTGATTAGGTTGAGAGGCTTCGGTTGGATCCAACATTCGTTTCACCCTTAAGCTAGACGTTCCCTTCTTTTCATTGCTGGTTCTTTCATGTTCTATTTCTTTGCCAAGGCTATCGACCTTTTCACTACTCTTGCTCTGAAACTAGCATCGTTCAATTAAGAAGCAAGAAAATTTCAACCTTTCCCCAACTTACCTTTCCCTGAGGTATTGCGGCAAGAAGTTTGCTTGAACCAGCACCGGAAACCACTTGTGAGACCTTAAATTTCTTAGTTTTCACAGAATTTTGAAAGCCTCCATAGGAAAGTGAATGGTCCCTTACCTTTTGCTCTTTTTCGTCAGCTATTTTGAGCAATGGTTCGAAGTATTTCTTAGCATTATTACTCATACGATCCTTAATCATTGACCGCAACCTGTTCATTTCCATAAGGAATCGTACGTAGATGATCACGCGCTAAAGAAACGAGGATTTGCAAACAACAGCTTTTCATAGTCACAATTTTTGATCACTCAGTTTAGTGAAAGCCCACAACGAATGGAACCTGCTTCACCGCTGAAGTGCCAACTGACCTACTGCTTAAAGGAAAGTGGCACGATAAATCGATAAGGCGTAGAGGGTCCTAGCTCAAAAAAATCTTGTGCGTCTTGGCAGGCGTTGCGTGGCGCTTTTTCCAACTGAAGGCACCGGCACTAACCCTGGTGCAATATGCCCCCACACCACTGTAACCGCCCGCCCACAAATGGTCGCACAGTCACATCGACGTGTTACACTTATCGCTTCATGTGAAACTGATATGAAGCATTGCTACATGGATATGTGAATACATACGTGAAGCCGTACCTATCAAAGCGGTTGTTGGCACGATGCCAACGAGAAATTCGTCAGAAAATCCTCGTCAAATGCCGTGTAGAACAAAAGTTTCTAGCCGTTCGACTTGGCTTTTCCGTCATTTTCCCCACTACATACAGTCGTCATCCGGGCACTTGATCGGGAGGCCAAAGGGTCGTGACGCGGCTGCGGCGCGTCACGACCTCGGCGATCAGCTGTTTCCAGCCTGGTTTAGCCATTTTCTCCCGATTTTTACTGTTTTTGGCTGCTGTTCTTGAGGTTAGTTGTTCCTTGCCTTCACAAGGTAAATTATGATTGAGATTTCTCTAAGTATGCAAACATCTGAACAAACAATTGAACAAATACCTAAAAAGATCGCAGAAACACTCATTACAAAAACAAAAAAAAGAATCCACGTCCTAATACACTTCATGAAGGAAAAAACAAATTACCTTGAAAAAAATAGAAAATAAGAGAAAATTAGGGAGAAAATGGCTAATCCAGGCTGCAAACAGTTGATAGCCGCGGTCGCTACGAGCCGCAGCCGTGCCGCGACCTCTTGGCCGCCTAATCAACTGCCCGAATGACGACTGTAGCACTCCTGCTACTATTTTCAAATAACAACGTTTCGTGCCTTATGCCTTCAAACTCAACTTCTGCGGTGAAACAGATGCTAAGAAATTGAGCAACTGATAAAGATTGAGACTACAGCAATTACTGCAGCATTCTTCGGTGGTTTTCAGAAACGGTTCGTTGGCAGGTATGTGTACAGTCTACGGGCGCAGGAGTGGCTACGAACTTAGACAGTGAGTAAGCCTATCAGAACCGATGAAACCGACTAGAACCGTTTCCAATAACAACCTTCCGGAAAACTAGCAGAGTTAAGTCAGAGAAACAAACAAACATACAAACAAACAATGAAATTTAAATGCAACACATTTTTGTTTAGAATAAGAAGCACAACTGATCCATACTAGAACAGAAGAAAGATATGAAATTATTACAACGTTGTATCTAATTGTGTTTTGGTCCACGCTATAGATGTTATGCATGCTTCACGTCATGCTTTTCTCAGAAATGTGCGGAGCTCTAACAGCCGTGCCCCCTTTTCAGGTTAAACAAAATGATTCCTACTGGCAAAACATAGTTTGTGAGGGCAGTTCAACCAGAATTCCGTCACATGTTTACAAGTTACAGGAGTTGTATAGAAAATTTCTATAGAACACAACCTGAGTCCACTCACCATGTAGAAATAGAATAGCTGCAGAAAAGGTTGATAAGAAAATGATCATGGTCTTCAATAAATAAGTCGGCTACAAAATGGGTTTTCGAGAGCTAAGTGGCAGAATGTTGTGATGTGCTGTATGGTGAATGCCCCAGCAAACGATAGGGCGTGTGCGACGCGAATCGCATGCAGCCAGGGCGCCTTTTCCACCAACGATGCCACCTTGAGCCCACTGTAACTGATGGGAAATCTAAACTGGCTGCGCTTCAAGCCTCACTTTTCCAGTCGATAGTCAGTAGCTGTACCGAGTGGTACAGTCGTCATCCGGGCAGTTAATTAGGCGATCAAATGTCGCAGACGCGGCTGCGGCGCGTCACGACCGCGACCCAGTTGTTTAGCCTATTTGGCTATTTTCTCCCGAATTTTCACTGTATTATTTTTTTCAAGGTGAGTTGTTTTTTGTCTTTATGAAATATATGAGGAAGTGGATTATTTTTTGTTTCTGTAATGAAGTTTTTGCGACTTTTTCAGGTATTTGTTCAATTGTTTATCTAGATGTTCAATTGTTCGCAAAAAAAATTAGAGAAATCTCAACAGTGAAAATTCAGGGAGAAAATGGCTAAAGTAGGCTGGAAACAGCTGATCGCCGCGGTCGTGACGCGCCGCAGCCGCGTCTGCGACCCCTTGACCGCGTACTCAACCCGGACCCCTTGATCCGGATGACGACTGTACATTTTACACCTCAAAAACTCGATGAAGGTGCTCCGACTCACTTTTAACCGGGACTCCACAACTCTTTGAGGTTTGACTACTTCACTCGCCCTCACCTTGCTGTGTAGCGGTTGTTCCCACCGCGCCTCTGCAGTTACAGTCATTGTTCCCTGCAAATGATCGGTCATAGGAGGGGGCATGGGGCGCAACTATGGCGGTCTTTTCCACCAACGACACCATGGTGAGTTTGCAACATAGGAGCACTTCGGAGCCCTAGCTGCACTCCAACCCAGGCCCCTTCACACGCCCTCTCGTTTGCAGGGGAAATGACATGTGCGTAAGTTTTTGAATCAGTGCAAGAACAAAATATTCCGAAATATGGGTGGGTGAGTGTGGGGGGAACGTATATTGAGACCAACTCGCTACCTAGGCGCCTCATGCATTAACCTGATAAGTGACCGTTTCACTTAGTGCAGAACATATTGCTCTACGGCGCGGAAGGAACAAGGGCCACACTTCTCCCCTAGCCCATTCGAGACCTTCTTTTCCGCATACTCAAACATGCCTGGTAGCCCTCCAAAGTACAGGTTCCCTGGAAGTCAACAGAACAGTTTACTATTCTTATGAAACTTTAGACTAACCCTGAGTTTTCGCTGTGCATTATACCGCATTATCTGCTTGTTATCGATAACTGGCCCTTCAGCTGGTTTTTCAAGTATCGCATCACAACGAGCTTTTGCTCGATGTCTGGCAATCCATGGATGAGCCAAACATTCCTTTGGTAACATTCGTTTTCTACAAGCAGAGCCGTTACCAGTGTTACATTAAAATAGTAAAAGAAACAAGTTCTACTGAAATTCTTTAGAACGTACTCCTTCTTGTAGACGATCAGCCTTGAGATGAAATCCTTTGCTTCTTTGCTGACCAAATCGAACTCCTCAGTAAAGTCCCACACGCCTTTTTCTACATTACAATACGTTTCACATAAGTTTTCTCCCAGAAACGGAGAATACCCGGATAATCTGAAAGAAAACTGGCATTGAAGTGAACTTCACGAACAATGAACTCATCTGGACATAAGCCTGTCAAGTTACCGTGGCTAACGGTGGTCACATCGAAGTTGCGGGGCGACGCGATCGGCGGTTCGTGCGGCGCGACATGCGCGCCTCTGTGAGCTAATGGATCCAACTCGAAAGTGCGGCGTAGTATCAAGTCAACGGGCTAGGAAATACTGATTGCTGTGTGTACTCACCACAACATGGACGTAAGCCTCCTACTCCCAACTCCTATGGATAGGGTAAGTAATAAGAGGACGACACTTTGCCCATTGAGCGTCTTGATCACTTCTGGTTCCTATTATACGATGGATGTTACGAAAAGGCTTTTTAAATACTTCTCCTGTCAATGGATGGGCTACAGAGCGGATGGACCTCGCAGTCCAAACTTGACCGCTCTCCTTCACACATCTGCTGCTCAATGAACAAGTGGGCCTGCGAAAGACTGATCGTCCTGAAGGGAACAGAACAGGATGGGTGAAATAGCGGTGCCATTACAACGCCCTTCCCCCTCCCCTCCCCCGCTCCACCACCAAATTTCGTGGGAGAGTCAGGGGGGGGGGAGACGAAACAGGAAAAATCGCGAAGAGTCAACAGCGAGAAAAGTTTTCAGCAGTGCCGGACACAACCCCTTTCCTGGCGACAAAGTACGACCCAGGATGAAATCTTTCCAGCTTTGTTTGCACCCTTACCCTCAATGCGTATAAATAGTTTGAGCACTGCTTAAACACTATTTGTCTCTTCCGTAACATGTAACTGTATAACATAACGTTACAGTGTTGTTTCTATTCTAATTATTTTTTTAACGCCTTGAAAAGAAGAGTGAAACGGTTTGCGGGCCAGTAGCACTCCATCTCTTCAATCCTGTCAAGTTTCTGCTTTTCTCGGCATTCACTCGTCTGCGCGACTCTCTATTACCACCGCGATCTCTCTTTTTTCGTGCAAGGTAAGTAGCTCACCCGCCCCGGAGTCCTCATCCCTTGAAATAGCCCATCCTCGCCCCACGTTTTTTTGCACATTTCAGTGCTTTGGCAGCAGCTGTCCACTCTGTCTGCAAACAGGGTTTCGCAATAGGACCATGCAGAAAAGTCCAAGTAATCACGTAACCGGGTGAAACAACCTTTGACCCCGTCAGCGCTGGGATTCTTTTTACAGATGCCGAGGTTACTCATCTGTTTGGAATTGTGAGTTACAATTTTTATTAGCTCCAGGAAAGGGGCTGAGTCATCTCACTGTGACCCATTCAATTGCCACTTTATTTGCAAGACATGATGGCGTCATGCGTGTTTCTAATTGGATGATTTGGAATAGCGCAAAATTTGTCACTAAAATTGTCAAGAACTAGTGAGCTCTGCGAGAGATCGGACCTTTTGTCTCATGGGACCAGTCTTGCAGCTTTGTACATGATGCGCCGAACATTTTAGTCATTTATAATAGAAACCTCAACTTACAAAATATAAGTGATTACTCCAACGCTCCACATATCCGTATGATAGTCTAATTGCTCGTACTTGATGACCTCCGGTGCGGCAAATTCCGGAGTACCCGCCATATAGCGTAGTTCCTGAAAACAACTTATTCCTTCCGTGGTCTGTTCAAAAACCCGGCAGTTCATTCCGTGCACTAAATTTTGGCCCATAAGGAGAAAAAAGTAGTGTAAAAGGATAGAGCTTCGGGGCTGGGCAGCCGGTCTTTCGGTTGCGCCACGCATTCCTATCAGTTCGATTATTCATTGATTCACTAGAGGCTGAATACTATTTGGCCTTTATAACGACTTGTGTGGACCGGGGCTCTTCGGCTTGAAGACGGTCTCCGCACTCAAGCGGTTCGTAAGCGTCCTTCCTTATTTAAGTGGCTGGTCCTCAATCTCAAAACAGTTCCTTTTTAGCAGCTTCAAGGGACGTAACGAGGGTTTTGCGGTCCTCATGAGTACCAGTCGTGACACATACTATGTAAATGCCCCGCCCACCAGAATTAAAGGCGATTTTCTGTCAGAAGTTCAGTTTTTACACCGCGTTCTTCGTTTTTTTTACTGTTAGTATCAGCACTGTATGGCGCAATGAGACAATCAGTGAGCCTGGGGCGCAGCATATCGCTGTGCAAGCCTAAAATGAGCAGCACCACACAACTCGTACAGTGATGTTGCTGGGGGTCCTTGCGCTCAGTGTTTTCTTTGTTCTCTCCGTCCCAAGAGAGCCACGAGATGTCCGGTCAACGGAGCATCCAAGACATCACGTCACCCACACTGGGACGCTTTCCACCAGCCTTAGGCATTCAAGCGCTAAATTCCGCCCAACATGAAACAAGTCAGAGAAATAGCATGCAAATGATGCCGGTGCCTAGCTGTACGGGAATGTACAGAATTTTGAAAATCAAGATTCCGTCCTTGGAGAGCACAGAGACAGGGCAAAGCAACTTGTGTAGCTCCTGTCCAAGGGTATGCATGAAGAGGACAGTGAATTACTTCAGTGAATTTCCACCCGGAAATAAGCTTACTGAATGTCGAGTGACGTCATCAGCACAATACTTCCCATTAAAGTTCCAGTGAAACTGTGAAATCAAGTTTAAATAAACTGCACTCTGAATGATTTGTCTGATGTGCTGAGAGGGTTGAGAGGAACTAAGGGGAAAAGGAGCTCTGAGGAAGGTGAACTGCTTAACTCTCGAAGTGGACCACCTTCGGTCCTCTCAAATTCGCTGGGACTATTGATCACTGCTCTGATAATGTCCTCTTGAACAGTACAGGCAGGCATAGAGACGCGCGCACACGCACGCACGTGCGCACATTCAGCTGCTGTAAGTGAGAGACATTCTATGGATAAACTCTTCAAATGTACGGCGCGCAATACTCACTGGTGGAAGTCGAG